TGGTTTTCTGGAAAAAACAATGCTTAAGTTAGAGGAGGTTTTCTGGAAAAGCAGCTGCCCAAAAAGTAGCAGCCCAAACACTGTGTGGCCACATGCTCTTCCAAATTGGAACTGTGTTTACCTGAGTATGTCTGCTTTTCTGTTTCACCCAAGTCATTTTGCTCGTGCTTGTCTTTTCTGTGTGCTTATACCTGAATGTGTGTGCTTGTGCCTTTATCCAAGTGTCTCTACTTGTGGCTATATGTTTTGCAAATTACTTTCTTCAAAGGATGTGTTTTAGATGCAGTTTTGAATATTTGCAAATCAAAAAGTAGAGCGAAAATAGGAAAAACCCTTAGTGAAGACCAACCTAAATAAATTTAGGTTGTACCTAAATCGAATTTACATTTACAAACCCATTTACACTTTTTGCCACCTAAATTCATCAATTTACGTAAATCCAAAAAATGTAAATTTACTAATTTCGGTGACTTAGGGCACTGCGGTGAAGTACCTGGGGCAGTTGATGGTTTCAAACACGGGGATGTCATTCGTCTCACGTTTAATCAAAGAATCTCAAGAAAATGTAAGACAACAGTCGCATGTCTGCAGCCCAGTCAGCGCCTATTTGTCCATGCGCAACTGCCTTATACTGATCTTCCTGCAATTCACCTGCGCATGGCGAAGGTCCCGCATAATGTAGGCAGTGGGCAAGGCCTGCGACCAGCGGGGTTCGTACTATTACCGTAAACACACATGGAACCAACTGTTAAAAACATACCAAGGCAGCGATTGCCGTTTTGATCCCGATGGCCTGCTTTGCGGCAGCAAAAGCAGCTGCGTGTCCATCGACCAACAAAGTCTTCACCATCTCTCTGAGCAATACACCCTGTCCCTCATAGAACTGGAAAAGTGTAACCAAGCTGCAAGCCATGCTGACGGTGTTCTCCACCGACAACCAGAAAGCGGCCAAAAGCAGAGTCTCGCTGGCAGGCAGTTTGAACTCTGAGATATGCTTTTGTTGGGTATTGAAACCAAGCGCAGAATTGAGAAGGTCCCTGGTAATGACTTGTTACCTGGGACGCCTTTTCAACCTACCTATACCAAATAGCGCGTGGCAAGTGCGCGGATACGGCAATTATCAGGAACGATGCTTTGGCTTGGTGTATAGCACGAAGTAGTATGACATCACATTCCTGATAGCGCTGGCATGTTGTTAGAAACAAACGTGTAAACAGCTTTTGCCAGGCAACCGCCTGTCCATCGGTCTGAAACTTCCACTTTCAAGAGCAGCCTGTTGCAGTGCCCGTGAGCCACCCAACGAACCTCCGCATCCCCATCAGGTTGTATGGAAGCGATCTTGTTGATCTTTCCAGAGCATGCAACGGGCAGCCAACGTCGACAATCCACTGCTTCAAGAAAGCGCACAACCCCTGCGCTGATTCAAAATGGACCTCAGGGAGTAGGGCTCAAAAGCCGGCAACTTCACGCGTTGAAAAACCGAAAAAGCGGGAACCGCTACTCGTTTGTGCCCCTTTAACGAGCCTGAGCTTTCCTTGTATCCACTTGCTCCCAGTTTGTCGAGTGCGCCCGCGGCATGAGCGTCAAACGAGGTGCGGATATAAAGACTAAGACCAACGGTTTTGAAGCACTCATGAAAGAAAAGCCCCTCAGTGTCCATTTAGGTTTCTCTACAGGCAGCTCGTGATATTAGACGAACCATTTGCTATCTTGTCATTTGGAAGCTTCTGATATGCTTGTGTCGTGGTCAGCATTTCAGGCTGTCCAATCAGTCTCACTCGTTGCCTGACACCTCAAGCGGTTACAGGCTCTATCTCGTTTGGACTCTGCTCGGCTTCTTCTGCTCTGCTCATTCTTAGAGCCTGAGCGTAAAAAAACAGAACAGAGATCAGAAAATGATGCAAAGGCCTTGCCATCCTGATTATATAAATCTCTTTTGTATTCTCTTAATACAAAGCAACCAATTACGCGACGCAGTTTTTTTTACCTATGCTTATTGCCCTCCACCCCCGCCTCTTCATGCTAGAGATCATCAACTTGTCACGCAACCACCCACCTATGTTTATTGCCCATGTTTTAGATGTTCCTAATTCCTGATCAATTATAGCAGTAACAGACCAGTAAGGTCACATTATACCTACTATTCCCTCGTACCCCGCCACCCCACCCCCACAAATTTTACAGCATGTTTTCGGAACATAGTCTCTGAATACATCGAAATAGTTTCTGAATACAACGAAATAGTTTCTGAATACGACGAAATAGTTTCTGAATACGACGAAAATAGTTTCTGAATACAACACAAAAAAAGGTCTCTGAATCCGCTAGTTTCTGAATACAACGAAATAGTTTCTGAAGACTAGTTTCTGAATACGACTTTGTTCACATCTCCCTGTCTGACACAAGAGGCATGTTCAAGGATGTACCCCATTGGCCCAATGACGCATTCAAAAGCCTGAGTTGAAATTTTGTACCCTTGACAAGGCTGGGCAATCTGTTGTTTTGATAGCTTGTCAATCCATGTGACACATAAATGAATCTCTGCAGTGGCAGTCCTGGGCCCAGCCATTCGCAAAGGCTTCAGGGGGGCCGCGGGCGCAGGGTTTCCAATCGCATAGCAGCAGATCGTTTGGCTTGGTTGTTGGAGCAAGCGTAGGCCTTTCGGCCATACCGTGCTTGAAAAAGTTGGACAATGCCAGCTTATTGCAAGATGGCAAGCCCATAGCTCCAATCTTCTTACCCTCTGGTAAGGGACTTCTCACGAGATCCACAGAGGTCTTCTTGAGCAACAATTTGTTCAATTGTTTTTTGGCCAAATTTGCTCCACATTGCTGTTCCAGGCACCGCGACTAGGTAGTCGGGACAACCCTTCCTCCGCCGCTTCCTGTCCTTTGTGCTCCGGGCCACTGGTGCCCAATGCTCTGGTCAACACATTCACGTCAGGTTCAGGGTCTTCTTCGTCAGGTTGAGGCGCTCGGGCGTCACATATATGCACTGCCCTTGCAGACATCAACAGCCACGCAGTTGCAATCGAGAACGCGGTTCCTGTTGTTTCAACATCCTTGCATCCTGGTGGTCAGGGCCTGAACATGCGCGGCACCCTTCAGTTGCAAGGAGGCCGTACGGTTCCTCCTTGTCCTGCTGGACTCGACCTTTGCGAGGGCACTGACATGATCGTGCTCTGACTTCTTCAATTGGCCTTGGCAGTCATCCTTGAATTTGCGGTTCCATACTCAATTGGCTGTTATAGCTTGGAGGAACACCACGTTCAATATCGTTTCTGAAGGCAGCACAGTGCGACGTGGCCCAAAGAACGCGCGACGTGGCCCAAAGAACATACTCGACACGTGTCAGGTATCGGTATGCCTGTTCGAGGCAATCGACAAAATGAGAGGACTGCCAAACATACCGGATTTGCTGAGATAGGTGTTCATGGCTGTGGAGAAGAACACGTGCATCGACAAGTAAGCAATGGTGTAATAAACACGCAATGACTTATTCCTTTTTGCCCGGCTTGGAACGGTTGCGACGCAATCAACGTACCATGCATGTCTTCCAATCCGTGGACAATCTTCCCCTCTGCAAAGGAGGCTTTGAAAGCCGGCCAATGGAATGTCCTTTCGCCAATCACAGTGAAATTTGCTTACTGCGGGGAAGCGTCGGCGATGTTGCTCTTGAGCCAGATCTGCGAATTCCTTTGTCCAAATATGCCCGCCCTCTCTGGGATGACACGGCATCATTATTGGCATGAAGGATTTAACTTTCTCGATCGTTGACAAAGCCTTCCACATACAGGACAAGTCCCACAAATCCCCAAACGTAGCCTTCCAAGTCGACTTTGAATGTGCAGTCAGCTGAGAATATAAGCTTTGCAGGCTTCATTCCACGAGCGCTGATGGGAAAGCTGAAAGGAACAGAGTGTAGCTGAGCACGACAGCGGACTGTTGAAAGGTAGCCACAAACTGTTGCAAACATCCAGCAAACAGGCGCTTCTTGTTGCGGACTTTCCCTGTTTTCAAGCCCTTCTTTTCTCAAACTCTTCAGACTAAAACCTCTCAGTTTGGCCCATGAACTAGCCCATCTCTCGCCCAGCTCACGTCTGACAGTTTTTGGGGGTGGCAACACCATCCTTGTCGAAGAGCTCGTTGATGTGGACCTTTGCCGCATTCTCCCTTTCCGCTGGGGGTCTGCGGGCTTTCTTGAGATCACCACCGCACTCACCACTTTTTGGGATGGTCAGCTTGTATGACCTCTCAACCTCTCCATTGAACTCATAGAGACGCGGGCAGTCAACGTGCTCGTTGCAAGGGCAGGTGGCAAGGGTCAGGTTCTGCTTCTTGGCGTACTTCTGGCCACAAGACCACAAGCACGCACATGCAGCCACATCTGGTCCCGGCCACATCCTCAGAAGTTACTTCTACCCACTCATGTTTTAGCGCCCTGGCGCAGCCATATTGGAATTGTGACTCGCTCAAACATTATGTCCTGCAGCCGGCACCGTGCTGAAAAGTCATGCATGTGAATGACACAGAAGATCCTTTTACAAAACAGATTGGCAATGTTTCAAGCACAGCGGCTCTCTCACAAGCAAATGTGTGGCAGTTTTGGCAATGTGTTCTCTACAAGTTAGGGGAAAGGAGCTCACTTTTTTGATCGTGTCAGCCTAGCTAGATTCTGTCAAATACCCATGGAATCGAATACGAGTACTGCACTGCTGCCACACAAACAACATCAAATGCTTAATCCTGACCGCCCCGCCTTTGGCATTGGCGAGAGCTCCCAGAGATGGAGCCAGAGGGCTTCAAGGTGAAGATACAAAAAGTGAAATTACCATCACCCAGTGTAGTGAAGACACACGTCACATAGCGGTGGCTAAAGCCCCCAAGAAGTGGCTAAAACCACAAGGACAGAGTTAAGAACCCCTTGGACGCGATTAAGAACCTGTCTGAATGCCTGGATCTAAGGGGCCTTGCGGCCTTTCTTTTGCAAGGCCAAGAGACAACGCGTCAATGGCCCATTGCAGAATGCTGCTATAGTTGCCTGTGGCAATGTGTGCAATGGTGCTCAAACAGGCGCTCCCACCAAGATCAATTCCCATCGTGAATTCAGGAGGAATCAGGTATACACATAAATAAACGGTTATTCCAAACATATATATATATATCCGTGTATAGTTATTAGATATCATTAACATATATTGTATATACACCGACACCTTTTGCAGTGTATCCCCTTGACAGTGCAGGTCAAAGAAACCAAAGACTGCCCAAGACGCAACGTTCTGCGGTGTTTTTGGGGGATCGGAGAACCGGTTCCCCGATGCCACCCAGTTGTGTGGTGACAGTCTGCTAGACCCAGGACCACCCTGACGATGGGGTGGTCATGGGACGGCGTCCCCCTGACCTGACGATGTCTTTTCCTTCCAAGGACGCTACCCAGCTCATGGTGGTGGTGCTGGTCTATTCCAGATGGTGGTGCTGGTGCTGGTCGTGCTCTGTTTCTGTTTCCAGAGGACATGGAGTTCACGAGACCTATACAAACGATGGTCATGTTGAATCCCAACGAGAACTACATTCAAAGGACGCTCCATCCCAACAAGCCCCACCAATGATGGCGTGATGGGAACAACGTGAGCCAAGTTCCGCCCCAGTTCTAGTATCTGGCCTTGTCATATGTTATGTTTCAGAAGTGGTGTTGTTAACTACAAAAGAGTCTTAGGAGTAGTTCCTCTTTGGGATTTCTACTTCATAATGGCATGCCTTGTTCTTTGCTCGCATCCATCTTCAGATCCGCCCGAGTCAGTCGTACATCGCCACTCGCCTGCGGGGACCAAGGGATAATCCGTGAGCATCACAACCGTGCCTGTGACCTGCCACTGCCACCGCTGCCGGCATCGTTTCAAGGGTGGACACTCAGGCTTTGGTCCCGCGCAAAAAGTGGGAGTTTCGACAGCTGCGGCAGGTGACACAGATCCGGAATAACTCACCACCTGGTATGGAAATGGAAGATATACATAGATATACTGTCCATTGTCTTTACATGTCTTTGCAGCTGATATGGGTCCATATCACTGTGCCATTGGAGGCCTCATGTTCCACTGGCCCATGGAGACCAAACCATCTTGGCACAGTCTCGGTTTCGGATAGCACATCTTGGCACTGCCGGCAAACCAAAGCTTTCAGGCACAACATGGTGCTGAGTCATCAGTCAGTGAACAAATCCCTGAAACCCATCTTACATACTCCACAAACTCCACTACATCTCCTATAAATAAACATGCTGCCCCCCTGAAATGGCTACCTTTCTTGCCTGGTTTGAAGACATTGGAGTGTTTTCTAGACAGCATGTTGAATCTTGAATCTTGTTTCCAGGTACCTGTTGGAAAACATGCCACAGCAACCGTTTGCAAAAGTTTGCAATGGCTGACCGGCCCCCCAAACATGGCACAATATGGATCAAATTATGAAGAACGTTGCCACAATAGAAGCCGTCTTTCAATGCTTGATAGTCCTTTTAATCAGATACTGTCAGAATCTGTTCGAGTGGCTGATTCTTTTTCAACTTGAACAGCATCATTCTATTTGCAATCCTTAATCTTCAAGTGCCCTTGATTGTAGCCTTCTTCAACATCATATGGTCCTGCATGACCCCTCATATATGATCATTCCTAGCTCATTGAAATGCTGCTTAAGCAGTTATAACATGTTATAACTTATAGGCTCTCCATACATCCAACTCATGAGACCGACCTGAAGACCGACCGTCCCGCCTTGGCCAGGCGCGAGCCCAGCTGGGCATAGGAGTCGGTGTCCGGAGAGCCATACATCCAACTGCCGCCGTGGGTGTACAAGGTCCTGACACGAGACGAAGCCGCTCCACCCGCCCCACACGCCGCAGAGACAGAGCGGGGTGCCGGTCTGTCTTCTGCGGTCGCACGGTGAGACACGCGTATAGGTTTTTGGGTCACAGGGTGAGACACACGCAAGGAAGAGAGCTTCGCTGGTGCAGCGGTGACGACGATGGTTGGGTATGGATGGCCCCATGGCCCAGGAGGAATCAGAGTCCAAGGACCCGCAGGCCGCCCTACAGACAAAGCTTGTGCTGAGCTGGAACTGCCGAGAAACTTCAAACAACAAGCTATTGTTCATACTGGCTCAAGGCAACCACAAGAAGTTTGAACCGTAATGGTTTCTAACCAAACATGAATGAGACTGGGTCGAAACAGGGTTGCAACAATGTAAGACCCAATATCAAATTGTCATAGTTTATGTTATAGTCTGTTACAGTACTGTATGTTACAGTCTATCAAGCTGCATGTTCAGTCAGGAGGCGTTTAGTGAGTCCATGTGTGAAGGCATGTGAAGAACCTTCTATCCTTCTATCATCTCTCTGGACCATGGATCTGAGCCCGTTTTCAACCCACAACCATTCGATCCAGCTCCTCCAAATCTGGCAAAACAATGACCATTGACCACGCGGACCGTTCGCGCAGCTTCCGCCTGGGCGTGGAACAGGTGGCGCCTTCGGGGAGCCAAAAGCTGTCTCTGCCACGTGGGCCCTGCACGGTGTCCCAGCAGTTCTCCTGCACCGTGGTCAACCAGTTTGACGGGTGACGAAGAGTGACGAAGAAGGATGGTTTGACGAGTTAGCCCCGCTGCAGGGCCTGAGAAAAGGTTCCTTCCATCCAATGTGGGAGGTCGTCTGAATCAAGAGAGTACTACGTACGGATGTCTGGACCTTCTTGATTCGACGGAGGCCGAGGAAAAAACAAACACGGTGGGTCATGCACGTTGGACCTCTGGACATCTGTGATGACAAACGGCCCACTCACTTTTTGAGGCCACTGACGTTCACCTCTGAATCTTCCTCTGGTGAACAAATGTAAATTGAAGTGACGTCAGTGGCCTATGCCATCCCTTTGGGACGGTGAAGGCTCTCTAAAACCCCAGATGCCTCAGCTTCTCGGTCTTCATACTGCACAGCATCGGACGCTCCGTCGAATCCGAAGGTCGGTCGGTCTCCTCGGTGCAATTCCAGTGCATGCCCTTCCTCTGAAGAGTCTTCCGCGTGACGCCAGGGGCAATCTGTTGATCCATACAGCAGGAGGTGTTCTTCACAATCCTCAGGAGAAAGACTTCATACACGCTATGGATCCAATCACCTTCTCAAGGGTATGGAGGGACCTGGAGTACCTGCCCGCTGTTCTTTACACAGAACAAACATCTTTTCCCATGCACTTCTGTACCCAAGGATTTGGAGGAGGTCCTCATTGAGCAGGTTCAACTCTATCAACCAGGACTGGTGACATTCAAAAGTGTCTAAAGAGAACACAAAGGCTAGTCGAATCATGTCGAATCTAGTCGACACCTGACCAAATAATCCAGCATTTTCAAAAAGTTGAATCCAATTCTATGACATATATCAAGATGTGCGACACACATCCATCGAGCATCGTATTTCATCTTTCTCCGATCCACCAAAAAAAAATACGGGTCACCATCACCTCCATCAGACGCGATAGATTTCGAGCCTACATCGGCCCAGGGTCTTGCCATAACAACAGGCGGTGGCCGGAGACAGCAAATGGAGATCCTTGTGGCCACTGAGCTTGCACTCCTCCGGCTCAGTCCTGAGGGGATCAATCGAACGCGAAAAGCACTTTACGGTGGACGCAACAAACACGTATACTACCCACTGATCCCACTGTATACCCACTAGACTCCATGGAATCATCACGGAAGTGGATGGCATGGCCCCATGGATGACCATTCTTTGCTCTGCAATACGTTTTTTTCTCAATTCCATGATGATTCCAGGAGTGGAGACAGCCACTGGAGACAGCCACTGTCGCTTTTCGCTTTTCCACGGCGTGAAGCCAACGTATCGAAGGAAACACAGAAAGACTGGGATTGGCGCCAGTCCAGTCGACTTCGAAGGAACCCCATATGGCGAATTTTATGCGTCGCTTCTTAAGAACCTTCTCTCTTCATTAGACCTTTTTCAGCCATGTAGACGCGTGTAGACTTGCCTAATCAGGGCCTAATCTGTCTCTCACCTCCTGCCCGGTGTTTGTCTGGAGGAATCCCCCGCAAAAAGCGGACTCTTTGGATCTCTTTGGAAGACTCCTCCATAAGCTACTACTGTATACAGTAGAGTAACAAAGGGCATCGCCGCCATCACGGAGCGTTCGAACGCGGAAAGAACGTCTGCGTCCCCCCGTCTCCGCGCCTCCCCGCCAGGTCCGAGGCCAAGAGCACGGAACCTGGGGCGACCGGTGGACCGGACCGGCATGATGGTCATGTGGGGGATGTGGGCCTAAGTGACCTGAGGATTGGCCAGAGCCCAGAAAATTCATTGGCCAACATGGGTCAATCTCCAGGATTTCGACTGGGTGCCATCCCCAACCCCCCCACCTTCGGCCCAGGGACAAACCCACAAAAATCAATGCAAGTGAGTGAGTGAGTTTCCCGGCGGCAGGAGGGGACCCGTTCGATCTTGACGACCCCCACAGCTGGACGGTTTTCTCGAGAAATCGTTGGACAAACTTGACTATAGACAACGGGATACAGGTCTAGAATTGATCGACAGCTACAGCACAACAAATATAGTTTTAAATATATTATTAGGGATCCGACGGATTCTGATGGTATCATGTGAATGTACTATTCTATAACAAAAGTCATATATATATATATATACACACACTAGATCACACACTAGTAATTAGAAGCTACTAGGTGGAGGCCATCGCTATTAGGTTGGCCATCGCTACTAGTAACAAGAAGCTACCAATTCTTATTCTAGCTCTTCCAAACACGCCCTGTCAGCACCTGCGTTCCAAGCTGCGCACCGTCCGCGGCCGTCCGCGCGAAGGCTTCGCAGAGCCCTCAGAGGCGGTGCGGCCGAAGATTTTTGCATCACACATAGAAACATGTAATAGATTAACAGAAATCAAGCTTTAATAAGCTTTAAACATGTTGAGAAAATGAGAGCTTCTGACCAGGGAGCTCTCATTTCATATCAGACTCGATGTCATCAAACTCCTGTCAAGGCACTAATAAGCAGCTGGTCGCCAGCAGTACAAGCAGCAGCATGCTGCTGCCGCCGCGCCGGCCACTCTTTGGCTGCATTTGGACTCAAGGCTCTTGACCAAATCACAGGACACAGCGCCAACTGTTGTCCAAGCAATGTCTCCTCTTTCAACCGGTTTCTTGCAAACATGTCTGTGCGGATCAAAAGCTGGAGACCCACACTTGCCTATGACAACGTGGACATCTCTGGTGGTCCATGAGGGTCCCGTTTTCGGGGCGGTTCAGGTCTGTCTATCTGGGTCGGGTCTGGTAGGTAGGGTCTATCCAATTCCGTTCATCCAAGAACGTCCTTTACATGGTGTCCTTGTAAAGAAACATTGGCCTTCAAGTTGTTGGTTTGGCCAATGCAATAGGATGAATATCTGAACCCTGTGGGCTGCAACCATTTGAGCCGAAACGACCCAGTGACCACGGATGGACACAGCCTGGTCTGGTTCGTCGCACTAGTTGGGTTTGGTAAGGTAGGTGACTGGTGGTCAGAACAAAAACACAAAAGACATCCAAACAGTTTCACCGGGACACAAACAAGGATGGTGAAAGAAAAGTGGATAACACCAAATCTTTCTGCAACTTCTTTTCGGGATATACAATACAAACAACATACTGGTGCCAAACAATAAGAAGCTAGTGGGACCTGCAACACACACCATCTTATTTAGAACACATCTACCAAAACTGTGCAAGGTCAACAGTGGATCTGCGAGCTTGGATCTACCAAACGATTCACAACCAAGAACCTCAAATCCAAAAACTCCGCATACAAAACAGTTGGAAGAGCAATTAAATGTAGTAGAAGAGCTGAGTGGATGATTTGCTGCGGCCCACGCGCGCATCTGCTGCCGCGACCGATTGGGGTTCTGGACTGATGCGAGGGTCGCCCGATGGCAGGCAGAAAAGGTCGGTGCCAAACCCGTCCTGCTGTCCAGCCGTCGCGCTTGACACAAAGTGGATGTAAATCGGGAGGGGCACACGGGGCACACGGCTCTTCTCACTACCCTGACGCGAGGAACGTGGTCTTGATACAAACAACACGCGCGTAGCTCTTGACAATTGAGGCTCCAATCTCAAAACCGGGCTGCCAAATTGAACACCTGGTTTCCCAAATGCAGTAGTCAGCCAGCTCTATGCGTGAGAAGCTCATGAGTACACAGCTGACGAAGTAGTCCAGGTTCTTGCAGTGTTGTCTCACCCTACATAGATCTATATATTATATATAGGTGACAGGGGTGCATGCTTCCGTTCCAATAGTATTATTTTTTGGGGGGAGTCCTTTATATGCGTACACTATGACTCACTGTACTGCGTGTGCTCCACATGTTGTTTGCTTTCCTTCTGTACTTCGGACTCCAAGCAGCAAGGAGGCACGTTCAGCCGAGGAACTCCTGAGAACTCTCAGTTTAACTCGTTGCCTCTCGTCAGCTGACGAGGTCCAACGAAGCTTGCACCAGACTGCGTTTCCAATGGCCCACGGAGCACCGTGTGTGCCTCATGCTGTCTGACCTCCATATTTCACTTCCTCCCATTAGGCATGCTGTTTGGCCCATTGGTTCCACCACTTATTGATCACACACTCTCCTTCGTTGCAGCCATGCGTCATCCGGGTCTGCAGCTTTCTTCTTGTTTGTGGCTTTCATTGACATTCTCACGGCTTTGGGTGTGGCTGCCGGATGACGCTGCACGTGACAGCATTTGTGGCGCAGCAAAACCTTGAACACCAAGATTTGAGCCAAGCTTGGGCTCTTTATATATTTTTTGTGTATGTGTGAGACCAAACGCATGAATTGAATGCATACTGTATTCAGTACCTGACCCCCTCAGTTTTCCTGGAAACTTAAGGTTATGTAACCATTTGCCACCTGTTCGTTGTTAGCCCCTCTCAAAAAATATCCACTGATGGGGTTTCCTGACAAGGGATCTGTTTGAATGGATCTGGTGCTTCTGAACTCAGAACGATATCTTTTGCCTGCTAAGTCTACACCAGCACGTTACGTTTCTGTCCGCAAGAAGATGTTTTTGCAGGGACTATAGAACTTCTGCAAAGGGTCTTAATCACATTTAATCACCAACCCGCCTCAAACATCAGAGGGTGGGAAGTGCTTGGTGATTCGGGGAATAACGGGCTGCCCCACAGTTCGGGGGCACGGCTCCTTCCGATGGCAACAGGGCACGGGCGCCGCGCCCTCGCTCTTCGCATGGCCTTGTGGGGGGTCCAAGTTGGGTGCGAAGTCGCTGTCGAACCGTCGGAGAACACAGACCTATGGATCCCACGGATGTCAGCCCAGACCTATGGATCCTATGGCCCCTGACGTGTTTGAAGGATTCGATCTTCCAGTTCAAGGGGAGGCGAGGCCACCCGTGGCCACTGACACCTTGACGAGGTCAAGACGGACGTCCGACCCTAGACAGGGGGGCCGCTTCAGCGGCCAGCCACGAAGGTTTGGATCAGCCTCCCACTGAAGTGAAGCACCGTGGGTCCTCACCATCCAAAATTGAGAGCCAGCAAAAACGCCGATGTTTTTGATGGGATGAGCACTGCGAAGCGGCCCATCTAGGATTGAAAAATCCCTGACAAGACCGATGGGACTGGCATATTTACCTACATTGACCCCTCAAACCACCTGAATGTTAGTAAATCTGCCAGTCCCATGGAGTGTCAGGGAACGCACCGAATCCCTGGGCGTCCGGTACTCTTCAAGCATTCGTTGGCATCGGTCATGGTCATGCAATCCTTCACCTCCCGCGCGTGCAACGCAACATGCGGAGAATGCGCAAAACGGCCAACATTTCATGGGAGACTGCGTCAAGAGATGCAGTGATCCTATTGAAATGAAGCTAAAGCAGCTAAAGTATACAAATGCATACAGTATACACTCTGAACCAACCAGCTCCGGAAATGTCCATATCGTAAATTAAGTAGGGAATCTTACAGTAACTTGAGAGCTTCTATAGATTCCATTGAAGGAACATCATTTTTGAAAATTCTGGACACTTTGACTAACTAACAATGTCTCATCCAGGATGAAACGATCGCCGTGAGTCTCTGCACATGCATGGTGACGCTGAGACCGATGTGTGGACTCTACCACAAATGCCGACAAGAAATGCTACAGTAGGCCTTTTTCTACTGCCAGTCATGCAAACCTGCGTTAGGTCTGACTTAATTTGTTGCATCCCAGTGACCAAAATGATCAGCATACAACAATGACACTCCGAGTCACCAGCATGGAAATGGAACATCACCTCTTAGTAGAGGATCTTATGGTCATCCAACGGGCCATTTTCCCATCCATTTCGATCGTTTCAGGGAGTGTAAGGCCCGCAGTCGTTTCATGGAACTAGTGGTAACCTTCTGTCCATTTGCATCGCTTTTCCTCTTTGGTCGATGGACAGAAGATTTGGACAGAAGTTGTGGGGACATGGGAGGTAATCTCAAACACCATTCTTTTGTCGCATATCTCTCCGATTTCTTCGATCTGTCAATGAATGGTGTTTGTCCTCTCCTTTGCCCGACAGTATATATCTCTGCTGGAAGATGCTGTCGTCCTTTGGATCCACTGCCACCCTCTGAGAGAGTGATTGGAGACACCTTTATGTAGGCGCCAGGAGGGTCCAGTCGTACCTGAGAAGGTGGTGGATCCCTAAATTCTGCCAACTCTGAAGATCGTTTGGTGCTCCAGTGGTGGGCCACCCAGTGATGACTCACTTCCCATCCCGGTTTGCTTCTGAGGGTCCAAAATCCAACATCACACGAGATATCGCGTGATGGAACTCCAGTCGCACGTGGTGGCGGCAGCCAAAACTATGGGTTAGTCTCCTTGTACTGTGCAACGACTTCAAGGAGAAAAAAACAAGGTATAGGTAAGTGAGCATTTGTTTCGAAAGGGACCTCCAAGGATTCATGAATACTCCCAAGGAACCCTCAAGCAATCTGAGCCTTGACGAAACAGAAGCTACGGGAACTAACTGTGACCCAATACGTGGTTGCCAAAGTTGAAATTTGGATGTCCCCAAAACTAGCACAAAGGACCTTTTGCCTTCATATGAATATATCTAACATGCAACTTTAAACTCACCTGTATGTCTCACCCCAAAACACAGCCCACTCCACCCATGACACCTCGGACGGACCTCGCGCCGGACGGATCTTGCGGCGTGACGTCTCAACCACTCCGGTGGGGCCGACGGGGCCGACCGCGCCTCTGACTCCAAGGGCTTCTCGTGGCATTTGGGAGGCCCCGTCTTCGGGGAGGTTTGCCTCGCTAAAGGGAATGGAAGAGCCAATTTGTGGAGAAAAGCACATGTTGACCACCAACCAAAATCCGTATTACCAGTCTTAGACTTGGACCATATATTACATCATATGCTACTCTGGTTCTCTTTCTACAAATGAGTTGTTGGCTTATGTTGGCCATGCAAAGGGCTCCAATGGTCCGCCCTGCAAGCTTGGCTTGAGCTGTCATTGTGCTGAGCGCCACTGCGAGCACTCAAGCCACCAAGATCAGAGCAAGAGACTGAGAAGCAAACACCCCGAGGCCGCCACGTAAAGCCATACTGGCAGCTGATCTTGCACTCACACTTCTCATCTCCCACCTGAGCCCATGCAGATGTGCAGCAACGCACGAATCCGGCTAGACATGGAAGAATCTTCGAACACGCGCGCTTCTTCGAAGGGCGAAAACAATCAAACAGGTCGAACGGCTCTTCCTACCCCAGCCCCCCAAAATGAAGGAGTTCTACAATCCATGTCTGCAACCGGGTCGATTCATCAAGAGACGCTACTTCCATTGACCCCATGTTGACGACGCAGGCCGTGTTGTCAACGCGTACGGCGGTCTTTTTCGACCTCGAAGGGTATTCTTCGGGCTCTCGCGGGAGCTTTTGAGGAAGCAGTTCCAGGTCGCAAAGAGGAGTCGACGATGATCTTTTGTTAGGCATGTTTTTTAGGACACAAATCTGCATGGAATAGTATGGAATATTTTACATATTAGTATACGTAGTATATCATATATATATATACGTAGCTATACGTAGCTAATATTAGTTAATTGTTCAATTAACACAAATCAGAAGGGACTATCATAACATCTCTTAGCATTAATCATCC